GCACAACTGAATGTGATGTTTGGTGATTTAGTGGTCGCGAGGTTTTGTTTAATTTCAGTGGAGACAATTAAATTAACTAGTAGAAAATCTATTCAGTGAAGTGTAAGGGGGAAAGTAATGGTTCCTTTATTATCTAGATTTAATTGGAGCTTTTTAATGGAAGCTTAATTCAAATCTTTTGATTACAGGATGTGCAACCTATGTAATTAATGAATGCCCATTCAACAACTGTTAGATTTTCAGTGTTTAATTATTTGTGTATGTGTGTGTGTACATATTTCTCTCTCTGTATGTTTAGCACTTTCTCTACTGACAGGCAGCCTGAAACATCTTAATTTTGGGAAGCGAGCCCATTTGAAGATAGGAGATGACAAAACTTTGTCGTAAATTACTGAGCATGGAAATGTTTCTCCTCCTTCACGGAGCTGGATGAAAACAAATTAAGAGGTTGAGGTAGCCTGTATATCACATTTCCTGCTGATGCAGCTTTCTAATGGCTAAGTTATTGACCTCTGAAAAATGGGAGTGTATAATGGAAATGCTGACAGACAGTAAACCAAAAGCGTTCAGCTTGGATGGTAGCGACTGTAATTATGAGTACATAAATACTCTTCCCCTATTGCCTTCGAAGAGAAAAAGCAAACAAACCATCACTACGAAATAGATGGGAGATTATCTATGTAGAAGGAGTGGATTTTTCCTGGTGTTTCGGTCTCCTTTTGTCATTGTCTGCTCTTTCCTCCTCCCCTAATGTATGTATAATTTAAAGTTATTTTATTATTGGTTGATTGCCTTGTGGTCATTGCATTATATTTAGGTACAATCTAATATACAGTCAATTAGCTTAGAACATAAATCCACATGATATCAAGAGACATAGCACAAGATGCTAACAGAAATAAAACCAAATAGGCAGAGTAAAGCATAGACTCACAGAGTTGGAAGAGACAAGAGTAATTGAGTCCAGTCTCCTGCCGTGGTGAGAAAACATCATGCTGGTTACCTTCATATAAGCCTACCACACTAGGAACTATAGTTAGAAGTATCACACCAGCATAGGACATATAGTGTTCCCTCACTTATCGCAGGGGTTCTGTTCCAGGAGCCCCCACGATAAGTGAAAATCCACGAAATAGGGATGCTCTGCCCACTCGTCGACGGCCTCCTCCTCCTCGCCACCTCCGCTGCTCCCGGCCTCGGAGGCCCCTTGGCTGCCGTTGATGGTGCTGCCAGGCTGGGCTGAGGCCTCAACCCAGCCTGGCAATGCCATCAACAGCATCCAAGGGGCCTCCAAAGCCGGGAGCAGTGGTGGCGGCGAGGAGAAGGAGACCTGGCTCCCCTTCCCTCTTCCTCGATATGGCGAGTCTGCATGAAGCGAACTGCGAAGTGGTGAGGGAACACTGTAAACACATCCTTTATTGTTGTGGGCCTTCACGTAGTTTTCAATTTATGGCAGCCCTATCACAGGGTTTTTTTGTGGCTGGGAGTACATGACTTCAAAGGACAGTAACATTTAAACTCCCGATCCCTCCAAATAAATTGAATTGCATTAAGAATATTCAGTATCAAATTTAGGTTTGTACTTTTAACACAGTCATTTTTCTTCTCCTGTATGATTAATAGGCTTGGTTGATTTAAAAAATGGTTCAAAACTTGTTTCAGATGTAGAGGGCGCTGGTGGTTCGATTCGGAATTTAATTCCGAATTTTTCCAAAAAAATTTGGAACTTTCTGAAATTTCTGAATTTGTAGTGACTTTTGTGGCAACACACAGCAAACAAATAATCAAACAGAGCACAGAGAGACCTTTGGGCCTTGGAAGCTGATTTCACAAGTTAGGGAAGGAGAGGCTGGAATGTGTGGGATTTGTAGTGTCTTTTGTGGCAGCAAATAAATAATCAAAACAGAACACATAGAGGCCTTTTGGGCTCTTGGAAGATTATTTCACTAGTTAGGGAAGGAGAGGATTGAATATATGAGATTTGTAGTGTCTTTGTGTTAAGAACAAACAGCCAAGATACCTTTTGGGGCCTTGGAAGCTGATTTCACAAGTATGGGAAGGAGAGGCTTTTAAACGTTGATGCTTTTAAAAACATTGGAGTGCTTTGGTTCCTCCATATCGCTCCTTCCACCCACACCAAGCACACATACACCTCAATACTCTTGCAGTGCCCACCCATGTTGCTCCTTCCACGCACGCCATGCACCCACACACCCCAATAACCACACGGTGCCCACCCATCCCAAACCCCAACAGCAACAACACACAAGCTGCAAGGCAGACAGCCAGGCAGGCAACAGCCCTTCTTCTCTGTTTGCTTGCCCTGCCCTGCTCCTCTTTCAACCTCCCTTCAACACAGCCTCCCTTCCCTTTCCTTTCTCTCTTCTGTGTTCCACTTTCTCTGTTCTACCTTCCCCCTTCCCTTCCCGGGCTCCGAATGAGCCTCTCAGCCATGTGCTCCCCTTTATATAGAGCAATGGCTGCCGAAACCCCTCCCATCCCCTAAACCTCTCCCCTGATTGGCTGGGAGGCAAGCAGCCTCCCAGCTAGCAAGCTGCTTGCCTCCCAGCAGGCTAGAGGGCTGAAAATATGCTGAATAATTTCCGACTTACTTCCTGAGTCGGAACAAAAATGGCAAAAAAAAGCTTCAGAAGGGCAAAGAGACTTCTGGTTTTTAAAAATAGTTCGAAATTGCTTCAAAAAGGTAATTAAAATGAATTTATAATGAGTTATCCAACGTGTATCTATCCATGCCTAATGATTAAAAAAACGTTTTGCATAATGAAGAGAATAGTGGAGCTTCAAAAGCTTGCAGTTTATTTTATGCATTTTGGGGTTGCTTTTTTGTGTGGATTGTGTTTCATTTAACGTGGTTACCCTTGCGTTTCTTTTTGTGGATCACTTTTTGTTTCATTTAACATGGCTACCCTTGTCAGATTATATGATACATTAGCTTAGGTACCATGTGATGCTCATTTCAGAGATTTTGTCAGGATACGCATAATAATTATCCATCCATAGCTTCTGAATTAGGGTGTCATTGCCCTCCCACCAGTATTTTAAAGTTGGCTATGATGGACATGTGTGACAAATTTGGTCTAGATCTGTTGTTGGTAGGGTTCACAGTGGTGTCTTGATGTGGGTGGACTACAGTTCCCATCACCTTGGATCCATCTATACCCTCCTATATTAGTGGTGCATTAGGGGCATATTAGAGGTGTATTATACCTCACCCCCCAACCTCACAGGTATTTTCTGTGGATCATGAGTGAGTCTGTATGCCAAGTTTGATTCAGATGTTGGCAGTGGGGTTTGTGGGACTGTCTTGATGCGGCTGGAGTGCAACTCCCATCATTTCATGTCCACCTCCCCCCCCAAACCACACCTGTAGTTTCTGTTGATCACGGGGGGGGGGGGGTGTCTTTGTGCCTAGATCCATCATTGGTGGGGTTCACAGGGCTTTCCAGATGTGGGGGCCTGCAACTCCCATAATCGCATGTCCACCCCCACTCGCCAGTATTTTCAGTTGGACATGGGTGTGTATGTGTGTCTGTGTATCATATTCAGTTGAGATCCATCACCGGTGGGGTTCACAAGGCTCTCTGGATGTAGGTGGACTGAAATTCCCATAATCCTCTGTCATTGTCCCCTACCAAACTTTACCAGGATATAAAGCGGGTCATGATGGGTATGTGTGCTAAGTTTGGTCCAGATCCATCGTCCATGCTGTTTGGGTGTGGGTGGACATCAACTACCACCATTCCCTGTAATTGCCCCCCCCCCAAAAAAAAACCCCGTTAGGACTTCAAGTTGATCATGTTGGATATTGTGTACTGAGTTTGGCCGAGATCCATTGTTTGTGGGAGTTACAGTGCTCTCTGGATGTGAACTATTTTGTTGACCCAAAATCTAGGGTCAACCCCCCCCCCCCCCGCCCCCAACCTCACCAACATTTTCTGTTGGTCATGGGGGTGGGGGGGGGGTCTGTGAGTCAAGTTTGGTCCTAATCCATCACTGGTGAGAGTCACAGGGCTTTCTAGAGGTGGGTGGGGTCTGTGAGTTAAGTTTGGTCCTAATCCATCACTGGTGAGAGTCACAGGGCTTTCTGTGGGTGGGTGGGGCTGTGAGTCAAGTTTGGTCCTAATCCATCACTGGTGAGAGTCACAGGGCTTTCTGGGTGTGGGAACTATCTCAGAAATCTCCATAGATAGATACATACATATCCATCCACTAACATATTTTCACTTTTAATATGTAAAATATTTTTGAAAACAAGACACAATAAAACAAGACCAATAATGTTGATACGTGTAATATTCTTCATCCAGTTTTACGTTTTGTTCAGCTTTTTCTAATATGGCCATCATTCTGTATTGCAGTTATAGATTTGTAACCTAGAGTCACAGATCTGCAGCTCCTCTAGGATTGATAAGAATATGTAGTCTTACTGTAAGTCTATGTTAGTCTATGCCAGTGTTTCTCAAATTGTGCTCCTCCAAGTATTTTGGACTTCATCTCCCAGAAATCCCAGCCAGCTTACCAGGTGTTAGGAAATGTGGGAATTAAAGTCCAAAACACCTGGAAGAGCAGAGCTTGAGAAACTCTGGTGTATGTTAAGGAGAATTGAGAGGGCTGTCATATTTTTGCATTTGTTGTTTCACTTTTTGTTTAGTAAACTTGATTTTTTCATGTCAGGAGAGACTTGAGAAAGTGCAAGTCACTTCTGGTGTGAGAGAATTGCCCGTCTGCAAGGATGCTGCCCAAGGGACACCCAGATGTTTTTGATGTTTTACCATCCTTGCGGGAGGCTTCTCTCATGTCCCCACATGGGGAGCTGGAGCTGACAGAGAAAGCTCAACCCACACTCCCTGGATTTGAATAACTGACCTGTCAGTCAGCTGTCCTGCTGGCATAAGATTTTAACCCATTGCGCCACCGGAGACTTCTAGGAAACTTGCTTGAGTGCATATTGGGAAAAAGGCGATATATAACTAGAGGACTGAACAAATGAAATATTTATTTGGCTTCCAAAAGTGTTATTTCAGTAACTGTAATTATTAGACAAAAGAAAGAAGATATGCTTGTATTTATCATTAAATATAAAAATATACATGTTTCTTTACATTTTTTTCTGTACAAAAACTCGTGAATCCTAAAGCCAACTGCTACTCAAACAGATTTTGTAGCACCAGAATCACTTCTTTCTGGACAGAAGGACTAAGTTTATCAAAGTCACCTCTATTTGATTCTGGAATATTGGAGGATCCCACAGACTGCCATAAGAAGGCGAGCTGCAGCTTGTTGGGAGGAAGGCCTTCACCTTGCTCACATCATGAAGACTCACAGGCCACAACATGTGTGAGAGGGTCTGATCCACTGAGATGTCACACTGGATTCGAATCTAGGAGGTGCCCCCTCTCTGATACAAAATATGGAGCTAAGTAGAATGCAAGCTCTTCAAAGCTCATGTCCTGTTTGTTCAGTTGTTCTCAACCTGTGGGTCCCCAGGTGTTTTGACCTACAACTCCCAGAAATCCCAGCCAGTTTACCAGTTGTTAGGATTTCTAGGAGTTGAAGACCAAAACATCTGGTCAGAGCATGGAGTATGGGCTTGCATTCAGATCCCTAAACTCCTTTCTCCAGAAAAACAACCAACTGGACAGATTTTTTAAAAAAGAGCTTTACATGGTGTTATCACTGATCTATGCACATGTCTTTTCAACAGAACATCTGCGTTTAGAGCTTATTTTTCGGCATCCTCTTTTTCTGTACTGTGCTTCGAAAGTAGTATATGCATAATTATTTTACACATAATGTAAGCAGAGTTTCCTCTTCAGTGTAAAGTGTCAAAGAGAGAAATTAGGTTTTTGTGAAACCAATGCTTATTAAATTTGGTTGCTGACGCAATATCTTTTACTTTAAGAGCTCAAAGCTGTCTTCAAAGTATCCAAAAATAATTCCATGTATATAGCATATATAAAATTGAAGGATGCCAACCTTTTGAAGTAGAGAGGACTGTTTGTAATGTACACAAAAAGACTGAGTTTGTGCTAAGTCACTGACCTTCTTTACACTGAAAATGGTGATTTTCCACCCTGAGGCTATTTTGAAGAAATGATTCAGATTCTTTATATAGGCATGGGCAGTACATTAAATGGGCTTTATTTCAGGGATTCTTCCTCCTTTCTATACATTTCAAACCTCACCCATTGCATTTGCTATGCATATTGATATGAACACAGTCTCCTGTGACTAATAGGCTACTGAGCTGTGGCAGAGAGGGCAGAAGTTGTAGTTGCTGATTTCCTGGGCTTGAACACAGTGCTTGCAGATATTGCACATCCAGAACTGATACTCGGTAATGGGCCTCCCAGTGGCGACACACGTTGGAAGCTTCCCTTCTCCCCTATTAAACATAAGCAAGAAAAGCTGTTTGAGAAGTGCCTCTTAGGGTGCCCACACACCTGTTTTGTTCAGGGTTAAGAATTATAGTATACTTAATCTCTCCTAAAAATCTAAACATGTAAATATATTAAAGCTAAGCATAATGCATGATGATAGTTATTTTTAGCATCATTCAGTTTACATAGGCAATACCAAGTCAATTTGAAACTGTGAATTTTAATGTTGTACCTCACTTCAACCCAAAGGGAGAGGTGGGTATTATTATAATTGGCAATAATATGAACAAACTTTTAATAATGATGATGATGATGATTATAATAATAATAATAATCATCATCATCATCTTTATTTATATTCCTTCCTATCTCCCTAAAGGGACTCGGAGTGGATTCCAAACATAAAAGGCAAACATTCACTGCATAATACACCCATAATAACGAAAATTGACAACCCAGATCTTTCCCATATTCTCCTCTTCTTAGATTCCTCAAACCCCCAGGAGGAGAGTTTTAGGATGGTCTAGGAAGGGGGTGATCTCATTCAGCACTGCCAGATGGACCACACTGGATTTGATCCAAGTGAGAGAAAATCAATTACAGTCATAACTAGAATGAAATTAATACACTTACTCTTCAAGAAGGCCATCTAGTTCTGACTTTTTGTTATCTTTAGGGTAGTGTTTGGTGAATATCTGCAGAGCAAGTTCTTCGTACGGCTGCCTCTGCTCCTGGGTCAGGTTTTCTAAAGATTCTAGTTTCACAAAAGCCTTTGAACATGTACCAAATGCCCTGTTGGCGCAGGCACAGAGGGCCAACAGCGAATAGATCTCCACGGCTGGAATAATGTCTTCATAATCCCTCAAGTGAAGGGCTGTGAGGCAGAGGGAATCACAATACACTACTTTGTTACATTATTCAGTTATCAATGTATTACACTCAATCACTTTTATCTGTATTGACAGGCACACAGAGTTCTGCCCACTCACAAATAATTGGCTTATTGCAGGTAAAAGAAGATGCCTTGTTCTTCAACTGAAAAGGATGAGAAAATGCCTGAAGTGGCTGCTGTGTACACCAAAGCAATCATATTTGCACCCATACCTTGAGACACCAGACTTGGCCATGGTAGTCTACGCCTTAGTCACATCCTGTTTGGACTGTTGCAACACTCTCTACATGGGGTTGCCTTTGAGGATAGTTCAGAAGCTACAATTAGTCCAGAGGTCGGCAGCCAGGTTGTTAACTGGAGCGCCATATCATGAGAGGACAACTCCCATGTTGCAACAGCTCCACTGGCTGCTGGTCTGCTTCCGAACTAAATACAAAGTGCTGGTCGCTACCAACAAAACCCTAAACGGTTCGGGTCAGGCTATTTGTTTAATTGCATCTTCCTCCACAGACCATCCCGGGCACTGTGGTCTGTGGAGGAGGCCTTCCCCTTGATCCCACCCCTATCACAAGTGCGGTTGATGGGGACAAGAGAGGGGGCCTTCTCCGTGATTGCTCCCCGCCTCTGGAACTCCCGAAAGAAATAAAAATGATTCCCACCCTCCTCTCTTTCAAAAAGCTACTAAAACACACCTTTGCACTTTGGCATACAGGGAGAAGGAAGATTAGGGCACTTTAGTAAAAAGCAGGCTGTCCTATCTGTACTTAATGGCCATTATGGTACAGTTAAAAACAACTAACAGCCAAATGCTTACCCATTTTTAATTGTGCTGACTATGTTAGATGTTTTATTGTTGACCATGGTTTTAAATATACTTGTTTAGTGATTAGTTGTTCTATGTTTTTATTTTGATAGTTAATTTCATTTGATTAGTACAATGCTGTTATTACTCCACACTATGTTTATTGCTGTAATGTTTTGGTATATGCTGAGCATTGAATATTAGCTTTTGTATGTGTAAACTGTCCTGAGTCCCCCGCAGGAGATAGGGAGTCTAAAAATAAATTTATTTATTTATAAATCAAGGAAAATTTATTCATGATAAAAGAGGAAAGTTTTGCCCAATCTTTTCAGGTGGATCAAGCAGCAGCATCCAGTTTCCTAACTTGCATTCAATATTCCTTAAGGGCCCTTCCACACAGCCCTTTATCCCAGAATATGAAGGCAGAAAATCCCACAATATCTGCTTTGAACTGGGTTATCTGAGCCCACACTCAGATAATGTGGGATTTCCTGCCTTGATATTCTGGGATATAGGGCTGTGTGGAAGGGCCTTGAGTTAGAAACCTAACAGGGAAATGGAATATATTCACTGAAGAAGTTCAGTGCTACTCAAACTGGTGTTGCCTCTCCCCAAGGAGTTTTCACCATCAGCATTATTTGTACTCTGCTTTCCCTCCTAAAAAGACTCAAAGTACCTCACAATAAAATTAATACAATTTAAAACCTAAAAAATACAAACATTAAAATAGAATTAATTATTAACAGTATTAAAAATAAACAATTAAAACACAATTAAAACCTATTAAAAACATATTCATAGCTAAAACTATAGCACCCCCTATTATTATGAAGATTGTGTTTTTTGACTTTGGGCTTTGAGGCTGAAGCCAAAACAGTCAGTTATTTTGCAACACAAAAGAATCCTACCTGTCTTCATGGCTGTATCGACATAACCCTCGTATAGCTGTCTCTGGGCAAGTATAAAGAAATGGTAGGCCTCAGCCCCTCGCCAAGCGTGATCGATTAAGCGACTGTCTGAAGAAAGAACATCTTCCTCCAGCAAACCAGCTAATGCTGAAGTTGCCTGGAAAGAAGATACAATAGAGAAGAAGCATGTAGGTTTTTTTTTAAAAAGTAGAGTAGGTTTCTCTACTTTTAAGCAGAGCTTGGATATTTTTACTTTTTTGGACTGGCTGATTAGGAAGATTCTTCTTTCCAAAGTTATTTTTTCTAGCTCTGAACTTTGGTACCATGTATTTTTTCCCTCCATTAAGAGCTTTGGCTAGTTGAAAAATGACTGAATGTCATAAACTGTAATAATATATTGCTTTCAGATATGTAGAGTCAATTGTACAGCGACAAGGGTACACATAATGGGAAGAGCTCTTAAAAGCAAGTACAGGCAGGTGCCGAATTACTAAACTTCAACTTACACAATACTAGTTACAAATGGGGGGTAAGTCCACAGGAAGTGATAGAAATTGCCTCTCAGAAGGTTAACTCACTGCTGAAAGAGTTATCATGGGGAAAGGGGGTCTTCGCTGAAGCTTTCTCACCAATCCTTGCCTCCACAACAAGCCATTTTTTTTCAAAATCCATTGTTTATAGTGACAGAAAGTGCAATAACAGCAAAATAAACACCACAGGGTGTTAACCCTTCCTAGTGCTATCCAAATCATGCATACATACATCTATTTGGCTGAAGTTACACTTAAAACTGTACCTATTCTGACTTACATACAAATTCAACTTAAGAAAAAACCTACAGAACCTATTTTCTTTGTAACTCTCTCCTGACAATATTTTGCAACGATTATGATTTTTTTTCCGTGTCAGTAGCGACTTGAGAAACTGCAAATTACTTCTTGTGTGAGAGAATTGGCCATCTGCAAGGACATTGCCCAGGGGACGCCCAGATGTTTTATCATCCTGTCAGAAGCTTCTCTCATGTCCATACATGAGAAGCTGGAGCTGACAGATAAGAGCTCACCACGTTCCCCGGATTTGAACCGCTGACCTTTCAGTCAGCAGTCCTGCTGACACAAGTGTTTAACCCACTGTGCCACTGGGAGCCCCTAATTATGATGCAGCCCCTTCTTTAGCATATTGGGGGTGGGGGTGGGGAGGGTGTCTATTCATATCTGTAACATATTGCTTCCAAGTTTGACTCTTGGGGATTTAAAATGATTTTTTTCTTCTTTTTTTTACAAGTTGCAAGCAAAAGAGGAAATTATGGGAAACTTGTGACATTACTACTTATCACCATTATAACCCTTGCCTCAGCCTTGGAATATAGTATAAATATTTTTAAAACATTTTTAATAACTCATTTTTGGAAGAAAGAAATTGAGAAAAATGGTTGCCATTTTCTTTAATAGCATCTCATAAAATTGACTTTCCACCATATCTTTGAGCGATCAAGCATATTTTATGACACATCATGCATTTCAACAAAGTACCTCTGAAGTTTTTCCTTTTGTTTTTCCCCTTTGTGCATTTTTCATTTGTTCGTGATACTGTTCCACAAGTAAAGCTGACATGACATACAGTTTTTTAACACGCAAGGGTTTGGTTCTTCTTTTAGCTTCCTCGTCTGAAATCTTTCAATAAGAGAGAAAAAAAATGTTATGTTAAAAAAGGAGAGAGGGTTATCTTTATTTTAGTTTTCTGTTTACAACACGAGACTCATAAAATAGAACATTAGAAACAACATAGTAAAGGTAAAGGTTTTCCCTGACATTAAGTCTAGTCGTGTCCGACTGGGTGGTAGTGCTCATCTCCATTTCTAAGCCGAAGAGCCAGCATTGTGTGTAGACGCCTCCTATGTCATGTGGCCGGCATGATTGCATGGAGCACCGTTACATTCCTGCAGAAGCAGTACCTATTGATCTACTCACATCTGCATGTTTTCAAACTGCTAGGCTGGCAGGAGCTGGAACAAACAGCAGGAGCTCCCCCCGGACACCCATATGTTTCGTTTATATAATCACCCAGTCTGATTACATAAATGAAATAAGTTAATATATCATTTCCTCCTTTAAAGGGAACTGGAAGGCAGACTGAGAGACCAAGAACAATGCTGGGTTGCATCTTCCTTCAGTTTGGACTGAGGATTCTCTGAGGTCTGGGGTGCAGCCTATTGCATCTGAGGCCCCATCTACACTGCCATATAAAATTCAGATTATCTGCTTTGAACTGGATTATATGGCAATATAGACTAATATAATCCAGTTCAAAGCAGATCATGTGGATTATCTGCTTTGATAATCTGGATTATATGGCAATGTAGAAGGGGCCTGGGTAAGTGGACCTAGGCTGCTTCCACATAGCCATTTAATCCAGATCAGAATGTGGATTTAAGAAATCTGGAAACCCATCAGATCTCTTAAATCCACATTCTGATCTGGATTAAATTCCTCTCTCACAGCCCAGGATTCTATTTTGTTTTTCCCCTTAACTCCAGGCAAAGAGCTGCACCAATGAGTGCTTTAGCAGCTCCTGAAGGCAAGGCAGGAACTATAGCAAGCTTTGCCAACAAGGGGAGGCTTCCTTTCCCTCCCTTGGCTGGCTGTGCAACAGCCTTATTGTTTCTATGCTTCCACTGAGTTGTTTACGCTGGTGCTGCACTTCCCAAAATTGTTCCTCCCTATGCATTGGGAGTGGGGTGTATGGGGGTACGATGTCATCATGACACTTCAAAGTGGATTACAGTCCCTTTGTAGATTGGGCCACAGACTACGTAATCTTATGCCAACAACTTCTTTCTCTCAGTAAGTCTGTAAGATGCTACAAGATCCTTTTGCTTATAAGAGTATGGACAGTCTTCCAAAAATTTGGTATGGCAGGAGTCTATAGCAATGCATAAAAGTACATGGCACAACTGTCTGCATTATTTCTGTCAGAACACTAAGTTCTCCAATGGCTGGGTTGTTGTAAGTTTTTCGGGCTGTATGGCTATATTCCAGAAGCATTGTCTCCTGATGTTTTGCCTGCATCTATGGCAGGTATCCTCAGAGGTTGTGAGGTCTGTTGGAAACTAGGAAAATGGGGTTTATATATCTGTGGAATGTCCAGGGTCGGAGAAAGAACTCTCATCTGTTGGAGGTGTGAATGTTTCAACTGGCCACCTTGATTAGCATTTAATGGCATACATTCAGTTGCAGAAGCAACATTTTAATCTACACCTAGATTTTAAGTTTATTTAGCTACTAATTGATTAATTGCAACTGTACGGATTTAGAACATCAGTGACCTATGCTCTCAGAACCTCATCTAAACAGGTATATGGCAAAATCCATGCAATGGGAGCTGTGATGCTTGTGATACATAAAATCAAGGGAAATTTTAGAAAGACCTTCTGAGACTGGGCAGCTAATGTTGGGAAAGCACAAACATATATACTTAATTAGAAGGCAATTTCTACATATAAAACTTCTTCACTGGATAAAAGACACACTGCATCTACCTCAGTGCAACCATCAATACCTTGAACATGAGTTTAGCAGCATCAAAGAAATAGTTGGCTTTACGATACAACTCAACAGCATCAAGGGGTTTGTTCTTTTCCAGTAGCTGAGAGGCATATCTAGCTAGAAGGGAACCAATCTCTTTCATATTGTGTTGCTTAGCAAGTTCAACAGCTTTACTCCACTAGAAGAAAAGGCAGCAAGCATTAGTCAATTACATTTAAGTTAAAATATAAAAACAAAGGGCCTTGTCTTTTAAGCTAAAATGTTTTCCCAGTGAAGAGAACAATTTACCCTTAGCATTTCAAAGCCGCCAGTAAATCCCACTTTGTGCCAACATACTGAAATTCAAACCTGTTTGCAGACAGATTGTGAGCAGAACAAAATCCTTCCCTTTAAGTAAATAAGAAATAACTTAAAATCACAGAATCACAGAATAATATGACTTGGATTATGTGATTTTAATTGATGTTTTAATGATATGTTTTAATTGCTTGGTTTTAATACCCCCGGTGACGCAGTGGGTTAAAGCCCTGTGCCGGCAGGACTGAAGACCGACAGGTCGCAGGTTCGAATCTGAGGAGAGGCGTATGAGCTCCCTCTATCAGCTCCAGCTCCTCATGCAGGGACATGAGAGAAGCCTCCCACAAGGATGATAAAAACATCAAATCATCCGGGCGTCTCCTGGGCAACGTCCTTGCAGGCGGCCAATTCTCTCACACCAGAAGCGACTTGCAGTTTTTCAAGTCGCTCCTGACATGACAAATAAATAATAATGTTTTTGCTTATTCATTGATGTATATCTACATGTGGTATTGAAAAGCACGATAAATGTACTCATGACAGATGGCCATCCAGCCTCTGTTTAAAAGCCTCCAGAGAAGGAGCCTCTACTACATTCCGAGGCAGAGATCCAACCCAGTGTTGCTGAAAACAGACTTCTGAGTAAACACGATAATAAATACTATTTTGTATTTTCTTAAATTTGTGGTAGATGTGCTTGTAACTGAAGAAAAACTGATCAAACATTTGCCATCTCCTCCTCCAGCTACTATAGAACATCCACTGCCTAGAATTTTTTCACAGGACACAATTATAGCACTATGATTTCACTTCAATTGCCATGGTTCCAGCCTATGCGAAATGGACCTAATAATTTACCTCCCAGAGCAATGGCTCAGCCCCTTCCCCGTGTTTATTCCCCAATTACTGCTTGTTTTACCTGGCATGGTTAATAGCAACTTCAAAGTATGTGTGACTTCCACACGGGATGGAGCCCAGGGAGCAAAAGTAATGGCTTCTGTGGCTGTGATCCAAATTTCACCCCAACATACTCTCAGTTTTTAGGAAAATAAAAAGACACTGGGAAATCTGATTACAGACCTCTCATATCCATTGTGGTTTGGCTCTCAAACGCAGCACAGGAGGACATAAACGGCTAGGATGCAATAAAAACTACTAGGTTGCTATTTTATAGCAGCTGTTTCGGCTACCAAACAAATGTTCATCAGAAGGGCACAGGAGAGAAAATGATATGGTAGTGGAGGCTTCTTCTTTGGGTTTAAGCAGAGGCTGGATGGCCATCTGTCAGGGGTGCTTTGAATGTGATTTTCCTGCTTCTTGGCAAGGGATTGGATGGCCCACGAAGGCTCTTCCAACTCTATGATTCTATGAGTCGCCTAATTAGGCTGAAAAATGCATTATAGAAATAAAGCAAATAAATAATAAATAAATGATATTAAAATTAATCACTAAAGTAAAATGGAACACACTTCCAGTACAACATCCCTTGTGCTGGGCTTATATACTTTTACCTGATTGAGATTTACACAGATATCGACTGCATCCTTTGGTCTGTTACATTTGAGGAAAGCGGTTACTGCTTGTTCGCACATACCCACTGTAACAAACTTATGGGCTATATCCTGCAAGAGAGATAGCAAATGAACCATGAATCTCCAGAAGAGTATTATCCATGGTCAGAAGTATAAAATCAACAGAATTATTCTGAACCTTCAATACTAATATATTTACCATGGCATGTGCTGACTACTTTGACATACATTAACTTTGTCAGATGCATGAAGCGAAAAGATATTGCCGTGCAATGTAACTAGTGGAAACTGTAATATCTTTAGCACCTTCTCCATACTTGATTGTTTATATTTTTATCATATTCATCAGATGGTGAACTGTGTCATGCTATTTGATCTTATGATGTACTAAATGCTGCTTTTCTTTATACCAACCCTCACCACTTATCCGATTTGCAGTTGGCATTCTTTGATTTGAATTTGGTATTTAATCTCTGAAAACTTAGCATTCAAAAAAGCTCAGGGAAAGAAAATGTCTGAAGTTATTTTTGTCTTAAAGACCCATATGTGATAAAAAGAGTATTCTTGAAGAAATATCTGTATTTTCACTTTTTGTGTGAAACTTGAAATATAGTTTGGAATGAGTAACATTTAAGATCGGATTTGTATAATGAATGATTTGTTACTGGATTGCACTGAGGCCCCTTCTACACTGCCATATAAAATCCAGATTATCTCATTTGAACCGGATTATATGGAAGTGTAGACTCATATAATCCAGTTCAAAGCAGATAATTTAGGATCAGATCCTGGAATATAGGTCAGTGCAGAAGAAGCCTAGGTTACACTGAGGAGGGAATTCATTCCATCATGAGGCAAATGGATATTTTCCTATGGATATTCTCACCATTGTTACCTTCAGAAGAATGAAATGAAGGGTAGTAATCAATTTGCTTATTTAACCAAATAGATACAATGCAATCTCACATATATCTCTTGTTGCAACCTAATCCCAATGGAGTTAATAGCATTTAGCTCCACCTAGGATTAAAGTTGGAAGTGAGTTATCCCAATGAGGAATTCATATACTCACAGGAAGCAACTTATTGTTTTCTGGAAGTGAGCTAGCCAAATCCTCCAATGCCTGATAATCTTCCAGCATATAGTAGCATTCAGCCAAACGTTCATGATTTCTGCCTTGTACATAATAAGGAACAGCATTTACCCTAAGGAGAAAGGGAAAACAGAAGTAGAGGTGTTTGAAAATATGTTAATATCACCACAGTGCTACAGACATAAATGTCAATAGCTGTGTAACTTTTGGAAACTGTTAGTCTGTTTGATTTGCTAATGTTAGTGCTGAAATGAAAACAATGTTGCACTATTGACAAACTTGCAAAACAGTGGATGTTTATATTTCAGTTGGCAAATAGACATAATTCTTTGAGTCTCTTTCAATCAATACATTCATTCAAATTACAAACAAACAGTAGTCAAGGTTTAACATTATGCAAGATGCCTATAACACAGCCAATATACAGAACACAGATATCTATTACTAAGATACACAAAGTATTATGTTAATGTTGTTGAAACTTCAAATATAATGTCATATGACAGATTTATACTTATAAACACAATAAAGAGGAACCACTTCTCTTAGTCGTGGATAAATGTCCATATTCATTTAGACAAAACATAAACATAATAGTCCAATCTGTCTGATGATATAAAAAGTCACTGGTAAATTTTTTCGAAGGACTATTTATGGCATCCAAGGTTGTACACGGTGACTAGGTTACAATAAGGAACTATCCCAGGTGTAGTTCCTTGTTTCAGTTATACAGGCACTTTAGGGGGAAGGTACATTCAAGTCACAGTTTCAGGTTCTGTGCTTTGGAAAAACTACATACCAGACCTCATTTAAATATGAATAAACTACTTCTCCAAAGGGAAGCTTTCTGGACTTTTAAATTTCAAACCCTGTTCCCTCAGGGCCTTAATGACAAGCTTGATTTCACTTGTTATCTGTAGCATGTATTTAAGGTTCATCAGGATCAAGAGCATTTGCTCGCAACAGAATCTCCTGCAGCAGCGCCTGTGGTTACTTAATGAAATGTAAGTCATGTGAACATTACTTTGACTATCTTGTATTAGTTATGTATTGATTTAATGTTAATATTACAATAGGGGTGCTATAGCATATCTATTTTATGTATGTTATTGCTGTTCTTTTCATACATGTAATTGTAGTATCAGAGACTTATTTCCTGTTGAAATATTAAGAAGAATTCATTACCAGAAGAAAGTGTTTTCATCACCAACACCGAAACAAGGACCTACACCCGGGATAACTTGTTGTAACCTGGTCACTGTGTACAAACTTGGATGCCATAAATAGTCCTTCAAAAAGATCTACAAGTGACTTTAAATAATCAGACAGACTGGACTACTATGTTTATCTAAATAAATATGGACATTTATCCATGACTAAGAGAAGTTGTTTCTCTTTATTGTGTTTATAAGTATAAAGCTGTCACATAACATCATATTTGAAGTTTCAACAACATTATAACACAGCCAAACAAAAAAAAAATCTTCATGCCTTCTTCTTTAGGACTGTTCCTGGGGTTATTTGGGGCATTGTTTGAGAAAATTGCATTATATAGACCACATCTGTTATTTGTCAAAGATCAGTTCTATGAGGATCTGCAGGAACTACTGGATAATACACCAAAAAGAGACATTATTTTCATTACAGGAGACTGGAATGCCAAGGTGGGAAGTCAAATGACAACTGGGATCACAGGCAAGCATGGTCTGGGAGAACAAAATGAAGCGGGACGCAGGCTGATAGAATTTTGCCAGGAAAACTCGCTGTGTATAACTAATACTCTCTTCCAACAACCTAAAAGACGGCTTTACACATGGACCTCACCAGACGGTCAACACCGAAATCAGATTGACTACATCCTTTGCAGCCAAAGGTGGCGGACATCCATCCAGTCGGTGAAAACAAGACCTGGGGCTGACTGTAGCTCAGATCACGAACTTCTTATTGCCCAATTTAGAATAAAACTAAAGAGATCAGGGAAAATACACAGACCAGTTAGATATGATCTCACTAACATTCCTAGCGAATATACAGTGGAAGTGAAGAACAGATTTGAAGGACTAGATTTAGTAAACAGAGTCCCAGAAGAACTATGTACAGAAGTCCGAGACATTGTTCAGGAGGCGGCAACAAAGTACGTCCAAAAGAAAAAGAAAACCAAGAAGGCAAAATGGTTGTCTGCTGAGACACTGGAAGTAGCCCAAGAAAGGAGGAAAGCAAAAGGAAACAGGGATAAGGGGAGATATGCCCAGTTAAATGCGCAATTCCAGAGGTTAGCCAGAAGAGATAAGGAACTATTTTTAAATAAGCAATGCATGGAAGTTGAAGAAGACAACAGAATAGGAAGGACAAGAGACCTCTTCCAGAAAATGAGAAACATTGGAGGTAAATTTCAGGCAAAAATTGGTATGATAAGAAACAAAGATGGCAGGGACCTAACAGAAGCTGAAGAGATCAAGAGAAGGTGGCGAGACTATACAGAAGATCTGTATAGGAAGGATAATAATATCGAGGATAGTTTTGCCGGTGTGGTGAATGAATTAGAACCAGACATCCTGAGGAGTGAGGTTGAATGGGCCTTAAGAAGCATTGCTAACAACAAGGCAGCAGGAGACGACGGGATCCCAGCTGAACTGTTTAAAATCTTAAAAGATGATGCTGTCAAGGTGATGCATGCCATATGCCAGCAAATATGGAAAACACAAGAATGGCCATCAGACTGGGAAAAAATCAACTTATATCCCCATACCAAAAAAGGGAAATGCGAAAGACTGCTCAAACTTCCGTACAGTGGCCCTTATTTCTCATGCCAGTAAGGTAATGCTCAAGATCCTGCAAGGAAGACTCCAGCAATACATGGAGCGAGAGTTGCCAGATGTTCAAGCTGGGTTTAGAAAAGGCAGAGGAACGAGAGACCAAATTGCCAATATCCGCTGGATAATGGAGAAAGGCAGGGAGTTTCAGAAAAACATCTACTTCTGTTTCATTGACTATTCTAAAGCCTTTGACTGTGTGGATCATAATAAATTGTGGCAAGTTCTTAGTGGGATGGGCATCCCAAGCCACCTTGTCTCTCTCCTGAGGAATCTGTACAAGGACCAAGTAGCAACAGTCAGAACTGACCATGGAACACAGACTGGTTCAAGATTGGGAAAGGCGTACGGCAAGGCTGCATCCTCTCACCCAACCTTTTTAACTTGTATGCAGAACACATCATGCGATGTGCGGGGCTGGATGAATGCAAAGCTGGGGTGAAAATTGCTGGAAGAAACATTAACAACCTCAGAGATGCAGATGACACCACTCTGATGGCCGAAAGCGAGGAGGAGCTGAGGAGCCTTCTAATCAAGGTGAAAGAAGAAAGCGCAAAAGCCGGGTTGCAGCTAAACGTCAAAAAAACCAAGATTATGGCAACAAGAATGATTGACAACTGGAAAATAGAGGGAGAAACCGGGGAGGCCGTGACAGACTTTGTATTTCTAGGTGCAAAGATTACTGCAGATGCAGACTGTAGCCAGGAAATCAGAAGACGCTTACTTCTTGGGAGGAGAGCAATGTCCAATCTCGATAAAATAGTAAAGAGTAGAGACATCACACTGGCAACAAAGATCCGCCTAGTCAAAACCATGGTATTCCCTGTAGTCACCTACGGATGTGAGAGCTGGACCTTAGGGAAGGCTGAGCGAAGGAAGATCGATGCTTTTGAGCTGTGGTGTTGGAGGAAAGTTCTGAGAGTGCCTTGGACTGCGAGAAGATCCAACCAGTCCATCCTCCGGGAAATAAAGCCCGACTGCTCACTGGAGGGAAAGATACTAGAGACAAAGTTGAAGTACTTTGGCCACATCATGAGGAGACAGGAAAGCCTAGAGAAGACAATTATGCTGGGGAAAGTGGAAGGCAAAAGGAAGAGGGGCCGAACCAAGGGCAAGATGGATGGATGGCATCCTTGAAGTGACTGGACTGACCTTGAGGGAGCTGGGGGTGGTAACGGCCGACAGGGAGCTCTGGCGTGGGCTGGTCCATGAGGTCACGAAGAGTCGGAGACGACTGAACGAATGAACAACAGACCACATCAGTGCTAGTTTCTTAGATATTATTAACATGATTTTCTATGAACAAGATGAAGACTGGTATATGCCATATTTTCTTTATTTCAAAAATGAAAAGTGTTAGGGGGAAATCGGTGCCATTTTTGGAATCAGCAGATCAAATATACCCAGAAACTCTTGGAAATAGCAATCTTCTTCAAGCCTCCACAAATATATGATTCGTATATGATTCTATTTTCTTACTGTATTATATAGGAATGCTTTGGTATGCAGCTTTCCCTTTATGTTTCTTGAAGTTGTGGGAGGGGCTGCAGACCACATGATCAGATTTGGGACTGCTCTGATCTGAGACTCCATTTTAGAGAACACAGAGATGTTATTAGACTTTGGACTGTTAAGAGCAAACTCATGTTGTTGTTGATTGTAAGAAAGATGCCCTATTATCTGCACAGAGAAACTACTTCAAATCTATCTGTAACTCGATCGACAAGTTATTTAACTGTATGGTGAATACATAAAGATTCTGAGTAAACCAGATATGTTACTTTTAACGAAGTCTACTTTATTTTTGTCTCTTGAGAGAATGATATAAAAACAAGATATTTTAAGGGAGAATAGATGTTTTGGGGCACTGAAAAAAGAACACTTCTGATACTCTGCTGGTTTTGAGTGTTGGCATTATCTCTGCTCCTAACAGATCAGAGACAACTAGGTTATCAGTCTAACACCTGAAAACCAAATTGCCTTGCATAAGTACATGTGGTTAAATACCACCAAAGAGAAGATTTTACTCAAATAAGTTTGCAAAAGGTTTTGATTTTCAAATGATTGTGAATACCAATTTTTTCCAACATGTTATGTAGATTCTGGTTTTCCAAAAGGTTATGATTTCTAAAAGGTCATGCCTTTCCAAAAGAAACAGGGCTAACATTTGAGGCACCAAAATGTATGCTGGCCAGTGTAATCAGTTCTGGTTCCACGTTTTGCCCATACCATTTTTGTCTGTCTGCAAAGTAGTCCCCAATTTCATTGTGTGCTTGTTCAAGAAGGTGATCATCGCCATGTCCTGAGCCTGCCTGCAGCAGCTGCACCACACGAAATCCATTTCCAAGCTTGAGTCGCAAGTCAACTGCGAGATCTCTACAAATATCACAAACACAAAGCAGACACAAAAGAGATGGACTTCTAAAATTCTTGATAGCCAGTAGGGTTGATTTGTGAAAGGACTGAGCTCTGAATCAGAACTTCTTGGAGAATACTGAATGCTTGCAGGGAAGGGCAGCCTAACATAAAATAGTTAAGTGACTTGGAGAAGGAACTGCAAGAGATGGAGATGCTGAATCCCTCCATTCACCATGACAAAAAAAGGGACAGATACAAATATAACTCTTGATTCTGCCTGCTTATGTAATTCATCAGTTGCCAGCCTATGTTCGGAAATATTTTGAACATTCTTAAATGCAAATTGTCAATATATTCAGTAGATATTTGCTTTCCACTTTTGTATTGTGAACTTCAGAGTTTGGTTAGTGTGCTATTCAAACTTCTGAAATTTGTCCAGAGGAGTGCAACTAAAATGATCAAGGGTCTGGAGAACAAGCCCTAAGAGGAGTGGCTTAAAGAGCTGGGCATGTTTAGCCTGCAGATGAGAAGGCTGAGAGGAGACAAGATGAGGGCCATAGATAAGTATATGAGGGGAAGTTATAGGGAGGAGGAAGCAAGCTTGTTTTCAGCTGCCCTAGAGACTAGGAAATGGAATAATGGCTTTGAACTACAGGGGAGGTGATTCCACCGGAACATGAGGAAGAATTTCTTGACTGTGAAAGCAGTTCAGCAGTGGAACTCTTTGCCCCGGAGTGTGGTGGAGGCTGCTTCCTCAGAGGCTTTTAAAAAGAGGCTGGATGGCCATCTGTCAGGGGTGCTTTGAATGTTATTTTCCTACTTCTTAGCAAGGGTTGTAGTGGATGGCCCATAAGTTCTCTTCCAACTCTAGGATTCTATACTTCTAAATCAAGAAAACTTCTTTCTACTATTAGCTGTTACAGCATGTTACAGGATTTTACTAGTCATTCAAACAAATGTTTAGCAATTACCTTCTGTCCATATCCAGATACATTCTTTCAGCCTCTTCAAATTTCCCAAAGTAAACAGCCACTTCTGCTTGCCTCAGTGATTCACTTTGTAGATTTTGAAGGCGCTTTACAAATTTAATGCCTTGATAATTTTTGTAGCGCACAAACGCTTGCTCAGCAGTATGGAGATCAAGTCTCTGGAGAGCCGTTTCAGCCAAAAGACGCCTGTGAAAAAGCACAACTGATGTCTAGAACAGTGCTTCTTAAACTGTGGGTCGGCTCACTGTTGGGGTCATGAAACATTTGGCAAAAGTAAAAAGTTTCTGAATGCTACCCAGTGGCTACTTTAGACATTACACAAATCTATTAGCAACAAGGGGCAGTGTTTACAGGGGACTCTTCGGCTGTACTTCATAAAAAGGAAAATCAGTCTGTTTAGCTAAACAGGTAAACCAGGAAATCCCAAATGGGTGCCCCCCACGAGGGTCTGCCTCCAGGGGCAAACCAAAAATGGGCAACTTGGAAGTCCCTCAACAGACTCAGAAGTGGGCAGATCAAAAGACAACCTGACAAAATGGTACTGCCTAAAAGAATCCTCCACCTTGTGCGACTGCGGAGCAGAACAACACATCATCTGTATGCTTGCCCACAATGCCCTGTCCCACAGGGGAAGAATTATTTAAAGCTACAGACAATGCAGTCACTGTTGCCTGTTTTTGATCTAAAATTACTTAGCCACTTGTGCTCCTCTATTTTATCAGTTTTATATTTATTTATGCAATGCTTTTGAGACGAAATAAATAAATAAGCCTGTTTAGTAAGCCTTGCTAATGCTGATGTTTTATTTTTATACCTATTTTATATAATAATGAACAGATCTTCAGCCAGACCTTCATAGTTGAGATAGCTAACTAACACTTCTTGGAACTGCAATTGAAACAATAAATAGCCGAGTCTGTTTTCCTACCTGCTATCTATTGACTGAAATAGTTTTGCTGCAAAACTTTGTGTTGTTAACCCACAAATTAAACCAGTAAACTAATATGAATAAATGCCCATATATTTCACATAAATTGAAATTAGAAACAGTGGCATTTTACCAGAGTCTTGGATGGGAGTTTTCTTCAATGAACTGGGTGGACTCTGCAATTCCAGCTTCCTTAAGAATTGCTTGAGCATCCCGTAATGATCTAATTTCAAAATTAAGCATATCATCCTTACTTGGATGTTCTGGATTCTACAAAATATCCAAAGGGAAAAAATAGCTGCTGTTAATTTCTTTTGTTGTTGTTGTTAAATGCATTGTTTTTAAAACTGCAAAGGGAAAATGTTCAGGGTCATTATTTACCTTAAAAATTTCATCCAATAACACTGATTTGATTTCTAAATCTTCAAAGTTGCAAATGTATCCAGAAGTTTGAATAGGTTCCTTAAAATAAATATAACATGTGTGAGCAAATCAAATCAAACTATTGAAGATATTCCCATAAAAACCTAATTTGAATTTGAATGTGGAATATAGGAAGATTGTTTCAAAACTCAATATTATTTAATTGTAGGCTGACTTCCCTAGTTCTCCTAGTTAAGGCTAGGATCCGAAGAGCATCTCTATGTGCCATGTATGTGGCAGTTATGCTTTGTAGAATGCTCTTGTACTGGAAAAGCAAGGAATAAAAGGGGTTGGGGGAGGTAGTGGGATGGAACAACACATGTCCTTTTAATTGTCAAGGGACCTTTCTGTATAGCAAGGTATAAAAGCAAGATGAGCTTTAACTAAAACATTTAAAAAAGTATATACCGTAATTCTAAATACTAAACAAATAGTGATCTTTCTCCTTTCTCAATTTTTTAAATTGATTTTACTAAGGTACTAATCCATGTAATCCACTCTTATGCTGCATGTTCACATTCTCACTCAGTGTAATGACTTACTAACCATTGATCAATGGTGATGGAATATTTCAATAATCTTGCTTATATTAAATCAGAGCTCCTGTTATGGCTAGTTTAACTGCCATATAATGCAGCTTGAACTGCATGAAATGGTCAGTGTAGACCCATCCTCAGAAGTAAGTTGCACTGATTTCAACAGCATTTAGGCTACACATCTATACATGCTTAGTAGAAAGTAAATCCTATTGAAAACGCTGATAGGGTTGGACTTTCATGTCCATGTCAGAGTAAACACATTGCAGACATGGGCTACATTACCAATGGTTTTCTTGCATCCTATACTGAACTTGGATGTCTGCCTGTCCTTCTACAGTCCTCATTCTTCAAATAAAGAAAGCATGCATAACCATAATTCCATGATTTTTTAATTGAGGAATGAGAGGAAAACTGCTGATTATGAAAAACTTCGCTATATTATCATATTTTCTACATCTGCAACAGAAATGTCCAAGGGGATGGAGAACTACATAATTTTATTTGTCTGAGACATTAATTTTGAACTTCAATTTTCAAAACATTGTAACTCTCCCAAAATAACTTTTCTAATCTTTGCTGGGGAAAAAATGACCACAGTGGTCATAGAGTTGAAAACTGTAATTAACCAAAATGTGCCATGGGCCATTTTTCAGATTTCCCAAAAGCTCAAGGGCTGAATTCTTAGAATAGGGCAATGTTATGAGTTATATTTAAACAACAAAAGCAACATAAAATTAGCTACTGTTTATACATACACATGAACCAGAAATGTCCTTAAACTGACTTTAATACATTGAATATTACATATGATATCGATTATACTGTTGATTATACTTATTATAATTAAAGGGATGATAAAGATTATGTTTAATGTCTCTAGATTTAGGTCTTTGTAACTAAATTCCTGGATTTTTGTTTCTCTCTCATTCTTTGATGCCTTAGAAAAAGGACTGTTATAGTATTAATCTTCATGAGCTCTTCTGAGAACCACATTCTGACAAATAATGATATGTGTGTGTATTCCTAATTGGATATACATATGCTTTGCCACTTTTCTTCTTTCTCTCACTGTTCCCTAAATATACAAAGAACAAAGAACATTTTCTACTCCAATTAAAGTATATATATTTTTATATTTACTGCTTATTGCTCTACCTCAGGATCCAGGTTTCTGAACACATACATTCTTGTTTTCTCCATCATGGCAAATAAATCGGGATTATCTTTGGCCCATTTCATATCCCAAACATCTCTGCGTTCCAGTTTCAGTAGTTCACCTACTCCTTGATTTCCTGAACCATCTGCTACTCGTGTGTCCAAGTCAAAGAAAACCAGCACTCCTAACATGTCTATGATAGCAAGACGACTAAAAGCAGAGCAAAAGGTAGAAGGACAAACACACATAAAAACAGAAGAGTGGCTCTTTAGCAACATTGTGTCAAACATTAAAAATAAAATAACTTGCTTTGAAGTTTTTTCTTGGAATGTCAGCAACAAAATTTGACAGCACTAAATTTGCTTTGCAAAGCCAATGTAAAATATAACAACAGTACAGGCAGTCCTGGAATTACAAACATCCGATTAACAAACAACTCATAGTTGCAAATGGGGGAGAGACAACAGAAAATAAGAAATCTACCCCTCAGAAAGGAAATTCACTCCTGGAAGAGTTATCATGGGGAAAATGTGTCTTCACTGAAGTTTTATTGCCAAGCCATGTTTCTACAACAAGCCACTTTGTTGAAAAGCCAGTTATTCAATCTTCTAAATGGGGCACAGGCAGCAAAACAAACACCACAGAACCTATCTTGCTTGAGACTGCCTGTACCCATTCCATCTTCCATTGTCTTTGAACTCATCTATAATCTCTCTTCTGATTACTGTCCTGCTTCCCATTTTCCCTAGCTTATGAAAAACCTTGTCCTCAGAACAGTATATACTACACACAATTAAATCAACCTGGCTATATTTATTCATATTTATCCAATAGATAGTACCCCAGAGAGTCATTGTGAGGAGAGGCAAGTAACAAATACATTTATTGTTTTTTATGTTATTTAGCATAGTGGTTTGAGTGCTGAACTAGGCCTCTGGGAAACCAAGGCTAAAATCCCCACCTGACTATGGAAACCCACTGGGTGATTTTGGGTTGGTCACACACTCTCAGCATCAGAGCATGGTAATGGCAACTTCCCTCTTGAATAATCTTGCCAAGAAAACTTTGTGATAGGTTCACTTTAGGGTTGCCATAAACATGAAATTACATGATGGCAAACAACAACATGTAATCTAGTTTATAAGAACTGTCCATGGAGACCGGGAAGTAATTTTATCCTGCCTTACCTGGATGTACAATTAAGGGACAACTGATAAGGTCGACAATTTAGAAGATACTTTCGAATTAAGCCAACATTGGGAAGCCTGTAACTCTGGATGGTGCCAGATTCTCGTCCCTAGAAAACAAGCAACTTTTTCAGTGTGGCAGTAGTAGTATTCCTTGATACATAAGAGAAATTGTTTAAAAGAGATTTTCCTTACAATTTAGGCTAATAAAAATTACTCGTGGCAGAAGAACCAGTGGATGCAAGGAAAAGGCATCACAACTGAATTATTCCATTCCAAAACTGTCTTCTTTGAATGTTCTGATTTAATAAACAAGATAACGTGTATCACTGGTTATGTTCAGATGATTGTCTTTCAACTGGATCAGATAATAAATGTATGAATAAGCCTTTTAATTGCTGTATTTCAATATTAACGTCAATTCAATACAGAGATTATAGTATAGTATGGTATGGGTATATAGTATTAATCAGGCTTATTTTTAATAACAATGCTCAAGCAACCAAAAACTACATTCACCTGGCATCTACAAAGCCCATTGAGAATCAGTTAGCTGAGAATCTGCTGTATATGTCATTGGCAGAGTAATATCACCTTCCCATACATCCAGTTTTATTCAAGTGACTTGCTTGAGAGTCACCCTGCTTGTAAAGTAAAATAAAAATATTGCAAAAATATTTCATTTTGGTACTTACAATAATAAGTGTCTTATCAGATGCTGTTATTGCACAAATTGGATCTCTTGTTCCCTGAAACCATGTAAATGACATTAGTTGAATCACCAAAATCAGCCATCCCCCAAAAATAACTGCAGAGAAAAAACACCAGCAAAAAAATATCTTCAGGAGTAAAGTAATCTTTAAAATATAATTACTGTCAAATAAAAAGGTATAATTTCAGAGCTTACTTGTAGGACTTTAGCATAATCAAGGGCTCCATCACCTGCTCCAGAAGGGTTATCATCTACATGATAAATCCTGAAAGAAAACAAATAAATATTGCACCCCAAGAGGACTGGATTTTGAAGGAAGAGGTGAAGAACTACTTGCTGTTTTGAAAAGAGATACAGTAATCTGACTCGAAGAAATTATAAAGGAAAAGCATTTTTGATCTGCAAGTATTATTCCTTAACTCAGTATCCTTTCTGCAAAAAGGTATGTCTTGTAAAGTGAAACAACTTCATTCATGGGAGAAAATTATTCTGCCATTTTCTAACCGCAGATAGGCCTGAAAGTGTGTGTGCGTGTGTGTTTGGGGGGGGGGGGGGAAGCATGTAGACCCTTGCATCACTATGGAAGTTGAGTAGTATGATAATGTTAATTTTAGATGCAGGAACAATTATGGTAGAAGAGAAACATTCAGGAGTTGTTGATGACAACAGGGATCTATGCCAGGAAAGCATAGATAAAACATGAAAAAGTGACTAATTAAAACTTGTGTGGTAATTCACTGAGAGAGGAGAGAAGTAATCAGCAATCTAAAGAGGCCAAGGCAAAACCAATACAAGCAAAGGGACACATTAAAAAGTAGTCAGAATCCAGTTTCAAGTGTTCAGAAAACAAAGTGTTTGAGTTGTCATAGATACCTATTCTACAGAATTAGCGGTAAACATTGCTTCTAGCAGCTGATGAGTGTTTGCTATCTGTTAAGGCAACACCAAATGAGCTGAAGATGTTCTTGTACTGCTGCTATCCCAGAGATAGGAACAATAACTTGCCTATATGAGAATGGCATAGGGTAAGCATTACAGGGGAATAGAATTCTAAAACCAGGAACAAACCTCTCTTTGCCTTCTTTTCTAGTCCGTGCCACCTGGTTAATTTCCATCGCTGTGAGCTTCTTGTCGACACGATATTGCCAAATATAAAATGCTTCTTTTGAAGCTGCAATCACTTGGGTTTTAGTCATTGTAACAAACAATGGAACTGTTATAAAATCCAAAAAAGAAACACAATTGAAATAGATAGTTGAATGCTTTAATATAACCTTATTTTGCACAGTGCAAGATGTTATTGGATCTCTTTATAAGAGATTGTATGCACAGAGACACGTACACCTTGTGTAGTAGTTTATGGCGCTCAAATGTAGCATTTGTGTAGTTTGTTTGCTTTTGTATGGAATGGACTCAACTCAAATGGGCCATGTCATCTTTTTGGATCAGATTCTGAATGATATGAGCATACAGAGGGAATGTAAAACCACAGCAGAAGCAAAGAAGAGAAAATCAATGGATATGTATTCACATGCTTTTGTATGGGACTAAACTGGAGATGGACATGTGAATGTGAGCAGTTCCCAAATGATGGCATGTGCCTGCAACTTCCTGAACTTTTGCACATTGAGCATGGAGGTCTTTATACCACTCTATAACTTTTACTAAATAAACAGTTAAGAGCCCTGAAATGAAAACATCAAGAGGGAATTGTGTTTTCACTATCTAACAAATACAATTGCTTGAAGCAGCTTGTTAAATTTAAATACTATGCCACAGTCTCAGCACTCCCATTTTACAGAAGAATATAAAAATAATGGTCTATCTTAAAGACTACTGCAGTGGCAGCACATGGGATACTGCAAAATATAATTAATTGATTCTTACTGCTCTTATATTTTAAGTAAAATAACTTTACCTAAAAAAATGTACTAAACATAATTGACTAGTTACTGATATACACTATGTCATCTTGGCAATGAGTTTCAAAAGAAGTGGATTCAGCAGTCAATATAAATCCAGTAACAGGCCTATTTACAATCTTGAAATGTTTGGTGGCATTTATATCAACATTTTGACTCCTCTGTAATGTAATTCTTACACTATCAGCCAATACAGTGAAAAATAATTTGAAAGCACAAAGCATATTGGTAAGCACATGTTCTTCAAGAGTTGCTGCAAAAGGAGAATTTGGAGGTAATTCTTCAAAAGCAAACATCTCGTCACCAAAAAGTTCCAGCAAACGCCAATAGAGGAAAGATGCAGCAAGCCAAACATGTAAGTCTGTAATGACATGTTGCTCTTTTCGATGCCTATAAAAATATTTATTTTTGTTATTGTTGCTCAATTTCTTCTCTTAAATGAGACTTGAAACCCCACGTGAGACACCCAATGCTTATCTGCCTTTCTATGAACTATGGGAACTATGAGGATTAGGGATATGGGGTATAGGATATAGAAGTGTAGAGTATAATAGTATAAGGGTATAGGCATATAGGAATATAGGTGCATAGGGATACAAGATGTAGGGATATATAGATATATAGTATAGGAACATATGATACAGGTGTAGAATATATATAGGGTTATAGGGATATAGAGCTATAGAGTGATAGATATATAGGGTTAGAGAATAGGGATATAGAGTATATGAAATAAGAGGGTTATAAAGTATCAGGATATATAGGATTATATGATGCAGGGATATAGAGATATAGGGTTATAGGGATATAGAATATAGGGATATATGATATGGGGATATAGTATATAGCATACAGGATTATAATATATAGCATAGGGATAACCCGTATATATATATTACGATATTTATAGCCCGCCTTTCTCAGCCATACGGCGACTCAGGGCGGGTTACAGATTGGCACAATTAGATGTCAGGCGTTCATAAAAGTGCCATTAAAAACCATCAACATTATAATATAAAACATAAATACAAACAGTTAAAGCATATAATCATCAGTGTCATCTTGTTAAAAACGCGCGCACACACACACACACACACACACACACACACACATATATGATATATGATACAGGGATATACTGTATTCTTACCAATGTCAATGTATTTTGGATCCAACGGTGTACCAATAGAATTGCAAAGAACAAGGACATACTGTAGAAAAATTAAAACACATATAATTATCAAAAAGAAAATCCGAAATTCTGTATTTCAGTTAAAAAAACTCAACATATATTTATTAGATAAGAATATATATGATAGATTCAGAATTTGGACCAGAAATTATGTAGTAGCTCTTATCTTTAGAATATAATATCCTTAGACTACGGTATCCCTATTATTTTAATAAGAAGTAATGTGTTTTTCGTCAGTAACAATGTTGCTTATGCTTGGTTGCTTGTAATTTGTCCTGCAAACAACTTTAGGCTATTCAGGTGTGCATGCTATGAAATGGGGTTCTAAATAAAAAAGTTTCTGGAGATCTCTGGAATTTCTGTATGTGCATATGTGTGGGCACATGCATGTATTGGGAAGGAGGGGGAACTGGCAAGCCTCTCACAATCCATGTGGGAGGAGACATTTTGTTATAATTCCTTCAGGAAACCTGACATATACTCTCTTTAGAGCAGCAGAGAAAAGATCCACTTACATTAACAACTAAATCAAATCTCTGTACCAAACACATGACAATAAAACCAAACATACATAAAAGGTAATGCAAACCACACCATATAAAGATCAAGCCACCAGTTATGAAAATATTAAAAGAAATTATTTACCATTGCACCAAAAGTTTCTGTCTCATGCTCCTCCTTTTGCAAGCATTGCACAAGAGATATGAAGAAATAATGAATTCATTCCAAAGGAAACCGAAACCAATTTAATTAAGCATACACAATTATCAAGAAGAAATCAAAGATAACTAGGGACTATCTAATCAGAGAGTGCCCCATATCCTTCACAACTGACCTGGTTCAATTTCTGGCTGATTTGCCTTCTTCAAAAATGACACTTTTTGATGGGCCCTTTTTATTTTCCTTATGAAGGGAATTCAAGTTCTTGTTTAACCCACCCAGTTACACTTTTTTAGTTTTTGGTTTGCTGCTTGACTGACGTGCTGGTTACATATTATTGTAGCTGGGGGAGAGGATGCACAGGGATGGGTAAGTGAAATGTATTTTGAATTGCAGAATTCTGGATATGAGGTGACCAATTTGTATTAATATATTTATCACACTTTCCCCATAATCCCCCTGTGCTCACCACTGTCCTTCCTTCACATGACAGTTGATTTCTGCCACAATCTGGCACGTATGATTTTGTCAAGCTTAGTTTTAATTTCATGTTTTACATCACTTTGATTTTTTGATATTTCAAAATATTAATAAAGCATCCTAGTTGAAGGTTCAACAATAGCTTCATACCAATTCATGCTAGAAGAACAGTGTGAAGGCCCTGATTTTTTTCAATAAAAAGGAATCTGTTTTAAGTTGCCTTTCATCATGACTACAATGGTAAACCAGCAAATCCATTTTTTACTTCAACGTGCTCTAGATAAAGATAGCCAGTTATACCTGCATTTGATTTTCATCTGCTTTAGTTGCCAAAATGCAGAAATCCCCACAGGTTGTTATGGAAATCAGACTCTTGACAAATTTCAAATACTTTTCATTGTTTTTTATATCCCAGAAGACCACACAGTATTCTGGACGATCAGGTCGGGTATATGCATAGACCACTGTATTGGTGCAGTAACCCCACTGTCAATAAAATAAATAAATACATAAACAAACAAATCTTAATAGTATATAGCATAACAGAAAACATACTACACAAACTGAGTCATAGAATCATTAGAATAATAGAGTTGGAAGAGACCACATGCATCATCCAGTCCAACCCCCTGCCATGCAGGAAAATCACAATCAAAGTACCCTGACAGACGGCCACCCTGCCTCTGATTAAATTCCTCCAAGGAAGAAGCTTCCACCACACTCAGAGGCAAAGAATTCCACTGTTAACAGCTCATACATACATTCAGGAAGTTCTTATGTTCAAGTGGAATCTCCTTTCCTGTAATTTGAACCCATTGTTCCCAGACCTGGTTTCCAGGGCAGCAGAAAATAAGCCTGTTCCCTCTTCCTTACGGCATTATTTCATATATTTATGCATGGTGATCATGTCTCATTCTCTTCTGCAGGCTAAACATACCCAGTTCTTTAAGATGCTCTTCATAGGGCATGGTCTCTAGACCTTTGATCATTTTAGTCAGCCTCCTCTGGATACCTTCCAGCTTGTCCATATCTCTTTTAAACTGTGGTGTCCAGAATTGAACACAGTATTCCAGGTCAGGTCTAACCAAAGTGGAATAGAGAGGCACCATGACCTCCCTTGATCTAGATCAGTGGTTCTCAACCTGTGGGTCTCCAGGTGTTTTGGCCTACAACTCCCAGAAATCCCAACCAGTTTATCACATGTTAGGATTTCTGGGAGTAGAAGGCCCAAACATCTGGGGATCCACAGGGTGAGAACCACTGATCTAGACACTCCTTTTGATGAAATCCAAAATCCCATTGGCTTTTTAGGTGCTGCATAACACTGTTGGATAATGTCCAGCTTGCTGCAAACTAAGACTCCAAGATCTTTTTTACATGGACTGTTGTCAAGCCAGGCATCACCCTTCCTGTATCTTTGCATTCCATTTTTTCTGCTTACATGTAGTATCTTACATTTGTCCTTGTTGAAATTTATTTTCTTAGTTTTGTCCCAGCTCTCTCATCTGTTAAGGTCATTTTGAATTCTCATCCTGTCCTCTGGAGTATTAGCTATCCCTCCTAATTTGGTGTCATCTGCAAACATGATAAGCAGTAAGCATGCTCCCTAAAGGCCCCCTGGTAGCGCAGCTGGTTAAACCACTGAGCTGCTGAACTTGCTGACTGAAAGATTGCCTGTTTGAATCTGGGGAGCGAGGTGAGCTCCCACTGTGAGGCCCTCTAAACCTTCATTTAAGTAATTAATAAAGATGTTGAAAGGCATCGGGCTGCGGCACTCCACTAGTCTAGCTTTGCATGGACTGGCCTTCCTGGCGTGTCAGATTTCCCTTTTACAACAGTTTCATAATCAACCTGTAACAGATCTCCAAAGGTTTCCTGGGATAATTCTACAGGGAAAACAAGATGAGGCTTCACATTGCTTGGGCAATAGTACAAAAATATAAGGGTTGTCAAAAAGGAATTTCAGAAACACTGTGCCATCTACCAAAGTAATCTCCACATTTAAAAATAAAACACTGAAGGAGCACGAGCTATGCCAATGAAAAAATTGCTAAGGGATCTCAGGAAAGCACCTGATCCATACATCTCTAGGAAAAGATGGATCAACTTCACCTTAGAAAATCTCTTCTAACACCAACTCATGAGCTATAGTGTTTTATTATGGATCATTGTAGCATCAAACAAGCATTTACCAACTTGTTGGTAGGGCAACTGGCATCCTCCAAGGACCATATAAACCAGAATACCAAGGCAGAAAATCTCACAATATCTGCTTTGAACTGGGTTATCTGAGTCCACACTGCCATATATTCCAGTTCAAAGCAGAAAATGTGGGATTTTATTAACTTGTGTAGAAGGGGCCCAAGTTGGATCAGATAAGGCTGTATGTTTGTAGGTTCCCCCTTCCTGCTACCTAAATAGTTTTCTCAATTCCCAACACATCTCCTCATGCCCAACATGAATTAATATGATCAGTCATCCCTTATTTATGGTGTTATAAACCTATATTCCCTAGGAATATAGCCAAATTAATTGTTTTCTTATTGAAATACTGTGCCCCCCCCCATATATATGCATGTAATAGTTTACACATTAGCAGTGAAATTAAAAACAAACAGGATAAAGGATTTCTTTTTAAACAATTCTGTTTTTACATTAGTACATATGCTATTATTGAAAGTTGTACAGTCATTGATCCAGATCCATGTAAATCTAAGTGGCCCCCATCACACTCCTACAACCTTCACATATGAAAGCCATTTCTAGATAAAGACATGCATTGAGCAGGAATTATTCTTCTGACTTTTCATTTAAAACTCAAGATATGATACCCTTTTAGTATCAGCACTTCTGACACATATTTTCATAGAACTGGAAATTACACTTTAGACATGCACTAATAGTAACTACTTACCTTATAGTCTGGTCTAATATTTGCAAAATAAATACATTGGTCAACAACTAGTCCTATTTTCAGACCTCCTCCTTCCCAAGAGAGAGCTGCCATTTGTTTGCCTGGAACCTTTAGTGTACGCAAATGCTGCAATGACATCACACAGTAATTGATTACATAATATTAGTACTTCCAGCTCAGGAATAACTGAGTATCAAAAATTGAATATAATATCTTGATGTGATCTGAACAAAGAAAATGAACTCAAAGGTTTATATCCTTCTGACAGTATAAATAAGAGGATTTAGGAAAAGCCTTTATAATTCTATTTTGCATTCCACTATTAACAAAATTATATTTTAGGGCATTTTCCCCTACTTGCGGGTAGTCAATTATTTATAGTTACTATATAAGTGGTCCTTGCAGTTTGAAATTAATGTAGCACTTCGGGTAAGAGAAAGATATATATTATATTTTATATTATATTTTGTTTGGACACTGTTACATTTTTTTTTCCTGCCATGCTTGAAACCAGAACTAACACAAAGGAGACACTACAACTTGAATCACAAACTATCTGCTTATAGAAGAAAACTGCTCGAGAAACACTGACATCGTTTTCAGTGGAAAATCTTTATTTAGCTCAACAATTGTACAAAAAAAATTACCTCACCAAATGGAGAGTAGAACTGCACAACATTGACATCTTTCTCTTGTGTGGTTATCTTTTGAAGTCCTGCAACAGCCAGTACATTTCCACAGTGGTTCCACTGGACACTCACAACATTCAATGCAGCGTCAATCAAGACAGGATCTAGTTGTTGTTAAATATATACGTACATTAAGTGATATGGAAAACGCACATGTATGATTAATTGAAAAATGACTCCACATACCAGCCTTCAACAAGGACTTCAAGCAACTGAATTTATGAACTTATAATATTTCTTTAGAGGCATTGGAAGGTTGTGCTTACTTTGATCATTCTCATGTCTCATTATTTGGCATCTTCCATTGTCAAAACAAATAGCAAGGCAAGGACAGTCTTGTTCAACATAGCCCTCTGTTCCAGGATACCACTGTATTCCTGCAATGCTGAATGCTCCAGTTACATTCACCAAACAGTTCATTTTCATTTTCATCTGAAATAGTAATTTAATATATGCAAGTAAATTGAGCATAACAAATCCATCACACAAGTGACTCAAAAAGGTGCTTCCTGGTCTTGTTCATGTTGAATTTGAATGTAAAACTAATTCTATTAAATATTAATAATAATGATGATGATGATGTTGATGATAATCGTTTTGTAATTTATTACTTATCTCTCCTTTTGGCTCAATGCAGGGCACAACATAGTTAAATACACATATAAATTCAAATATTAGAACATATTTAAAATGCAACCATAGAATATATTAAAACATGCACATATCAAAATATCTGAGAAAAAGTTAAAACACAACATTTACTCCCAAGTAATGTAATAAATTTAAATGCAGAAAGGCAGCATCTGCTTAAATTTTCTGATAAAAACTAAGATTGGTTTTTATAAATCAAGTACAAAATAATTTTCTGCTTTCTAAAGATTTGAGTATGAAATGTGTTGTCGTTGGCTTTCATGGCCGGAATCACTGGGTTGCTGTGAGCTTTCCGGGCTGTTTGGTCATGTTCCAGAATCATTCCCTCCTGACGTTTCGCCCACATCTATGTGGGTGAAATGTCAGGAGACAATGCTTATGGAACATGGCCACACAGCCAGGAAAACTCACCGCAACCTTGAGTATAAAATGTTTCTGGAGCAAAAGTACTACATGAAAGAATAGAAAGTATGCCTACAGACATTGGCTGCAATCCACAAATCACTTATGGCACAGTATGGGCACAAGATACAATTTAACGTATTAAAACTTATATCAGTTAAATTGTTTTCACCATTTACAGTAATCAGCTGCTTCTGTATTTGCGCAGAAGACATGACTTGATATGTCTTCACTTCACTTCCAATTATGACTGCTGAACAGTTTTGTCATTACAGAATGAAACATGTCAAGAACTTTAGCAGGTGGCAGTATAGATCATGCAGATATACTACAAACATGTGGGCAATAAAGTTACATGAGGTTATGCAGCACAGCACTCTACATTGCTCCTTGAACTCACCATAAAAGTCCCATGCTTGTCATAAATGTGTATTTCTCCATTTGCCATTCCAAATAGTAAAGTTCTGCCATCTGGAGACCATGCAACATGATGGAGCTGCACTTTCAAATCTTTTCCCCAAATCCGATTCCCTTTCAACAGAAAATATGTTTACCAGAGCCCACATTTAAGGAGAAAAAAAAGCTTTACATCACTTGGAATTATATAGGAAGGCTCCTGAAATAGTAGATAAAATTCAAAATTGTGGTTTCTACAGGTTCTTCTATATATGGAGCAAAAGAAAAAAATACTTCAAATCACTGTAAGTATGAAGACTAGCTAGGTAATTCTTTCAACAATCTACATGCTCATTTATTAACAAAGAAATTACAGGTCCATCATTATTTAGCATCATACAAGCCATTAAAACTACTCTGATTATTTTTATAATGGCATTTATATAATTGCACTTGTATTTTTATAATGTCACTTATATTGGTTCAATTATGAAGGACATTGACATTAAATGCCATTTATTACTTTTTAAAAGATGATTTTTTAAATCACACTTCAAAAATGGAAAATATCAGCAGATCAAAACCTCAGTTTTCCTGTGGTTGGATAATTCTCACTGATTTAATATTTGCAAAGGGAACCCTTTATCTTAGCAAAAACAACAGAACAGGACCCAAAGTCAGATATTAAGTAATTTGCAATGTTTGTGAATCATCATTTAATGTGAACAAAAATCCATGAGAAGTGTTTGGTTAAAGCAAGAACATACAGGGCTAATTTTGCGCACTCAAAACCTGTCCTTGGTCCATCCACCTCTGCCTGTTGAGTAGAAAGGAAATCTTCACATATACAACATATACATCTCAAATGGCTTAGAATTCACTATGCAATTTGAAACCTAATTAGACCCCGTCTACACTGCAGTTTCAAAAAGCATTACATGGTCAGTGTAGACACATATAAAGCAGTTCAATAAACTGCATTATATGAGTCCACCGTCTACCGTACCCTGACCATATAACACCGTGTCAAACTGTATTATAGGAAGAGAAATTCACTCCTGGAAAAGTTTCATGGGGAAAGGGCATCTCCACTGAAGCTTTATCACCAATTCCCTTTTCCACAACACATCAAATTTTTCAAAATCCAATTCTCACAGGGGCAGAAAGTGAGGTGAAATCTTCTTAGCCGGGGCACAGACAGTGAAACAAACACTACGGGGTGTGTGTGTGTTTGTGGGGGGGGTGTTTTCTATGCTATCCAAAGTATGTGCTCTCTCTCTCTTTATCTCTATCTATCTATCTATCTATCTATCTATCTATCTATCTATATGGGGGTGGGTTAAACTTAAAAAAATGTACTTGTTCCAACTAACATACAAATTCAGCTTAAAAGCAAACCTACAGAAACTATCTTGTGTGTACTTTGGGGACTGCCTGTATGTGCTAAGAATATAAGCCGACCTTACCATCTACAGAACCAACGATAACAGCACCATCTTCATATATAATACAGATCTTCTGTCCATCAGCATTCCATCTCATACTTCGGACAACAGATTTGTTTCTATTGTTGATCATCTCCTCATACCAAGCACCTGAAATTCAGTATTCATTTGAATTAAGAGTTCTGTTGGGTACTGTTTCCTGCAAAATGCTAGCAGGTTGAGCTGGTAGAGGAAGGGAGAATTGATGAAAACTGCTTTTCCTTTTCTACATTCTGTGTATTTCGAGCCATTTCCTTTGAAAAAAGGGAGCTTCAATTTGCAAAAGGACAAATGTGGCTCCAATCCATCCCTGGCCCAAGGACAAATAGTCAGGAACTATGGCCCCTTCTAGACTGCCATATAATCCATATTATGAAATCAGATAATTTACATTCTTTTGTTTGAACTGGATTATATGAGTCTACATTGCCATATAATCCAGTTTAAATCAAATAATCTGGATTTTATATGGCAATGTAGAAGGGGCCTATGACAAATTTAACAGTTCACTCTGTCTATAATATTACATTAACTGTGAATACTGCTCAAGATTATATAACTCTGTTGGTGCTTTTTAAATATTTGGATGTATTCAGCTTTGATATTTTATGTTTTATCTACTTGATTCATACAAATTTAAAAATTGCTGGGAAAGTGCCTTAGAACTAGCTTTGACTTGGCAGGTATGATCACAAAGAATGTTAACAAGCATTCTAATTGTTTGGGGTAACCTATTTGAACCAATATTCAGAAAAGGCATTTAAAGCATACATAGTCCTACTTTTTAAAAGTTGCAATTTAAATCTAAAGAAAAAATAAAATATCAAAAATATGCAAGATAATACTCTTCAGCAAATATCTTACCTTTATACATCATCCAGACAATAATAAGACCATGCTCATCACTGCTAGTTAATTTCTGATACTGCTCATTCCATGTTACGACTTGCACAGCACCTAGAAAATGCAGAATCTTACAGTGCTGGATCACATCAACAAATTAATTGTGTCTACTTAAAAGGTTATTAAAAATTCAAATCCATTAAAATCAAACAACACACATGTAACAACTCTATTGTAGCATTTATGAACTCATATACAAATACAAATAGCCAAAAGTCATCTAAATAAATAATGGTCAGTTTCTATTTATGGGAAAAGCGTCTTTAGTTCACTGGAGGTTCCTATGTAAGGAAGTGTGAGTGTAAGCATGGAAGGGATCTCCATTTCTGCTGATTCATCACATTCCCATTTGGTTTGGAGAAGCTGGTTTTAGAAAGTTCAAGGTAAACTGACAAATGTTCCTCTTCCTTTCTATTGGAGGAAACTTCCAATGGAAGTGAACAACTGGATTCAACCCCAAATGTGCCAAGTATCAGTAATATGCACAATACATATCTTCCCAACATTATCACTCAAGTTGCTTTTTCGAGCACACTATATTGCCAAAATAGTCACGACTAGCATGAAAATTATTTTTGAATGATCCCACCTATTGTTTGTATGTGCCTAATTGTAATAATTTAGCTGTATCCCATAAATTCTAACATACATATAGCCTTTGATTTATATATATGACAGTAGAATGACAGATTTTATCAAGCTGGGAGGGCTTTGAGTATGGTACCAGAGGCAGACTGTGTGCTTATCACTAAAGGGTTATCTGAAGTAGCATTGAAAGCCATACCACCAGAAGGATGGTCACTAAGGGCCCTTCCAGACAGCTCCTATATCCCAGGATCTGATCCCAGATTTTCTGTTTACTCCAGATTACCTGGCAGTGGGGATTTATATAATCCAGTTTAATGCAGAAAACCTGGGATCAGATCCTGGGATATAGGGCCTGTTTCAAAGGGCCCTTTGCAATAAGTTCGCCATAATAATTATATGTGATGAAATACTTGTGATCTGCCTTGGTGCGGAATTGCTTACATAAATGAAATAATAGATATTTCAAGAATTCAAGATACTATATCTAGAGTTATCAAAATCATACTTTTGTTTAACATTTAACTGTGAAGATTTCAATAGGTTAATATATTTTGAACTCCCTTTGAGGACAACAGAATCACAGATGTATAAATCTAGGTTTTCTCCGAGAACCTGGATTCTGAATTTTTATAAATACTTCTAATACTTTTGTTATTAATTAGCATTGACAACTTTTTTTTAAAAAAAGTGTTTATTTAATGAACTGTTAAACGGATTCACAATGACTTAGATTAAAAGAGGAAATAACATATTTTTACTCAAAGGATTAAGCATATTAATCACATTTATCACATCATACACCACGCACCACTACCCTCTGAAGTACAAGCATGTTATTCCGATATAGAGAAAAGAATAGTGTGTGTGATATCAGACTGCCAGTGTAAAACTCAGCTGGAAGCAGCAAATATGAAATAACAGTAAACTCTAATAATTGTTTCCTGCACAATTATCTACTAGAGGAAAACAGATCTTTCAATAATGTATATATTTGAATTGTGTTGCAATCATAAAATGTGAAGTTTTCCAATGAAATTATTTAGTTCAGTCAATGACACAGAACTGCACTTTCATCCCATGCCCTGTTCCTTTGTTAAATTTGAACTACCCCATTCCTTTGTCTTGTTTACAGTTTGGTCATGTCTTACGGTAGTTGTCACCAACCATCGTAAGTTTAAAATTGTTGTTTTTATATGCTATAGTTTTTATTTTATTGCATTGTACTGTGTGTTTATTTTATGCTTTGTCTTAGGTACTTTGTGCCATATGTAAGCCACCCCCAGCCCCTTCAGGGAGATGAAGGCAGGTTACAAGAATAAAGTTGTTGTTGTTGTTGTTGTTGTTTTTATTCATGAACGTATTACTTCAAAAACATTTTAATCTTGTGAAAAATTATACACTTATAGAAATGCTTACCAGTATGTCCTTCAAGTGACTGATTCATTGACAGATTGCTAGGTGCTGCAAGTCCCTTTAATTTAGCTTCATCTTTTAAAAAATGAAATTTAAAATGATTTGAAAACAGATGTTGGAAAAGCAAATCCCACCCTCAGTCAATATACCCAACATTCCTATCTCCATGAACAGGGGCTGCAAAAAACAAAAACAAAACAAAAAACAACAAAACAAAAAACACACCAAAAACAAACAAACAAAACAAAACAAAACAGGAAGGTGGGAAAATCTTCTAAGATATCACGCCAACTCAATATGCGACAGGTGCTTTATATCCTTTCTAATGTGATTGCACGTCCATGTGCACACCAGCCATCAAAATATAATACTGAATAGTGATGACTGTCATCCCTCAACTGATGGAGAATCTGCATATTCTGATGCACAATTCTGCAGAGAATATACACTTTGCAAAGATAATATGATATCTGCCAATGCAATTTGCTTGCAAGGATACAAAAACCATATGCTCTATATGAACAGGGACATGACAAATCGATCAGCTGTGCCATTATCAAACTGTAAGAAAAGTATTTTTCAAATTCCTTTTAGAGTGATTTCCACAATGACTGGGTTTAAATGCACAGGAGAATGGACTTTCTTCTTGCTAATGCCTGGCTCTTGCTTCTGCAGTCCCTGAAATCCCCAGAAGTCCTCCAAAGCCATCCATCCTCCCCATTTAAAAATGGTATTTCAGGCATCCTTTCCCTGAGAATCATGTGGAGAGCTCCCAAACATACAAAGATATTTCCAATCCCATAAAGTTCCTTGCAGGGCCAGAATATCAAGGAGTGCTGACAATAATGTTGGACATTTTCAAAGATTTATGGATGTACTCCCATTAGCAGTACAATCTACCTGTTTTTGTCTCTAATTTTAAAACTTTCAGCAGACCATCTTCACCACCACAGGCAATATAACCCTGATCCTTGCTCCAAGAAATAGATCTCAGTCTGACATTACCAGGAATGGTAATCTGAAAGAAACACAGTTTTTGTTAAGAAAGAACACCATAATTGAATTGGATATTGCTCATTATGGACTATGGATTGTTCTAGCATTTTAGGTACAGTATAGAAACAATCACACAGTAAGTTTCTTCAACATATTTTACACAGTAATGAAAAAAGTAAATTCTATGTCTCAAAGAACCAATTGCCTTTTAAACCACATCACTAAAAATAATGATGTTCTGGACAAAAGGTAGTGGAGGAGTAAAGAAGAAAATGTCATACAGTACATATTGACTCATTGTCAACTCTGACCAGTAGTACTGATACATTATTGTTACAACCAGCTGCAGCCCCTGAGGCAATCCTGTCCAATTTCTGGCTCTACCAAATTTTAATTAAGGTGTACTGCAAAACTCAATGCACCTTTTTGAATTACCGTATTTAAAACTGAAATAAGACAGACATGTAGTGCCATATATAATTAAAATCCAGCAAAGAGTGTTTCTACATAAGAAACATTTCTGATAAGGCCTTTCTATATTGGTAATGGAGAAGACAATGTGAAAACTATTCCACCTTTTTGTTCTTAATGATATTTCTTCAGAGTAGAAATAGATGAAACACGGAGAAGACAATGGAAAGACAAAGAACAACGAACAGGCTTAAATCCCTGTCAAACTCGGCACATGGTGGATGCAGGATGAGAGCATGATATAAATGTTGTATGAGGCTAAAATGGGTTTTATTCTCTTGCTTTGCCGTGGATTAGTGCCTTAGGCTGGATCTACACTGCCATATAAAATCCAGATTATAATTACATGGCAGTGTAGACTGAGGCTGGATCTGACCCCTGGTTATCTATTTTGAATGGGATTATATGAGGACCCTTCCAGATCTGATCCCAGGTTTTCTGCTTAAAACTGGATTATATGAGCCCACACTGCCAGATAATCTGAAATAAACGGAAAACCTGGGATATAAGGCCTGTTTGGATTAGACAAGCATCCACCCTTACAACATTTCAGAGGGACTTGAAGACATGGCTATTTAAATAGGCTTTTGGCAAACAGTCAATCTCTGTGATATGGATATACCTTGATTGGGGTAGATTTCTTTTAGCTCATAGAAACTATTCTGTTTTTGATCTAATATTCTATAATTTTTATTGTTAATTTTGTTTACTTGGTTGTGTAGTATCTTGTTGTCTTTATACTGATTGGATGTGTTATTAATTGTTTATTCCATTTTATGTATTGTATTGTATTGTATTGTATTTTACTGTATTATTTATGTTGTGAGCCATCCCAAGTCCCTTGAGGTGATGGGGCGAGATATAAATAAAGTTGATTATTATTATTATTATTATTATTATTATTATTATTATTATTATTATTAGAAACAGTACAAGATGAGTCCACAGCAGATAAGACCACTCTGCTGGCTATTGTATTGGATCACACGTCAGACACTTCCCAAGTGTCTAGGACTGTGTGATGTATCGGCAAATGATGCGTGGAGATCCCAGTAAGGTGGCCTTCTGCAGCTGGCAGATGGTAATCTTGTCAGCACCGATTGTGTTTAAGTGCAGGCAAAGGTTTGTATGCACTGCACCCAGGGTGCCGATCACCACTGGGACCACCTTGACTGGCTTGTGTCAGAGTCTTTGCAGTTCGATGTTTAAATCCTCATATCGTGTCAGCTTTTCCAGTTGTTTCTCTTCAATCTTGCTGTCACCTGGGATTGCAACATTGACAATCTATACTTTGTTTTTTAACACGATTGTGAAGTCAGGAGTTTATTATTATTATTATTGACACAAAAGCACAGTATATCACAGCAAACGAGATCTATATGCTGGATTTTGTATCTCAAAATCACAAGTTGAACACTCCCCAAGCGTCTAGGACTGTGTGATGTATTTTCGAATGATGCGCGCAGATCCAAGTAAGGTGGCCTTTTGCAGTTGACAGACCGTGATTTTGTCGATGTTTATTGTTTCCAAATGCCAGATGAGATCTTTTGGCACGGCACCCAGTGTGCCAATGACCACTGGGACCACTTGTACTGGTTTATGCCAGAGCCTTTGCAGTTCGATTTTGAGGTCTTGATAACAATAACAATAATAATAATAATTTAGAAGGGCCCCGAGTCTACACTGGCACATAACCTGGGATAAATAGACAACCTGGAATCAGATACTGTGGTATTGGGGTAGTATGACCTTAGGCCTCTTCTACACTGCCATATAATGCAAAGCAGATTATCCAGATTATCTACTTTGAATTGGATTATCTGAGTCTACATGCCCTTATAATCCAGTTCAAAGCAGATAATCTGGATTGTATATGGCAGTGCAGAAGGGGCCTGAGAGGAAAAGAAGAGTGGCATAAGTTTGGGAGGCTTCCGTCAACTTTGTCCCATGATGAAGAAAGCGCCAAGACTACGAAAGTGTATGCTAGCATCTTCTTTTTCTCTGGGTGCATCCACACTGTGGAATTAATGCAGTTTGGCACCACTTTAACTGCCACAGCTCAGGTTTATGGGATCTTAAGCCTCCTCTGCCAAAGAGGGCTGGAGCCTCAGCAAACTACAACTCTCAGGCTAAATAAAATCCCACATTATCTGCTTTGAACTAGGTTATATGGCAGTGTGGACTCAAATAACCTAGTTCAAAGCAGATCTTGTGGGATTCCCTGCCGTGATATTCTGAGTTATAGGGCTGTGTGGGAGGGCCCTGGGTCAGACCCCAAAGGCAGCCCCGTCCCCGCTCGGGGGTCCCCAGCCCTCCCGCCTCCTCTCTCCCTCTTGTTCGCTCACCTTTTTGCTCAAATACACGAACATCTTGCCCGGAGTTAGGCTTCGTGGTCTTCTTCTTCTTCAGCAGGCCGCGGCCACCGTCCCCATGGCAACGGAGGCCTCGTGGCGGTTGCCTTGGCAACAGAACCCTTTCCGGAAGGCGAGTAAGAACTCCGAAGGTTTTGCTTCCGGGTTAGGGAAACTTTGCATTGCTGCTGTTTTTCTTCCCAGGATTCTCTCCCAAGTCTCCCCATTTCCCTCCCTTTAAAAGTTTTTCTTTTGAAGATTTCTTTCTGGATGTCTTATTATGTTGTTGAAATACAGTTGAAGATTTCCAAATACCTTTCAAATTATATAGAAAGAAGAAGGGGGAGCAAAAAAGAGGAAGGAAGGAAGGGCAGGAGGAAAGAAAGAAGAGAAAACCACAAGGAAGAAAGGAAGCATGCAAGGCTGGAGGAAAGAGAAAGGCAGGCAGGAAGGAAAGAACAAAGAAAGAGTGTAATATATTAATAGTATAATATACTGGTAGTGTATTATATATGTTGTGGTATAATAATATAATTGTACACTATATAAATAAAAATAATGTATATTCGAAGGCTTTCATGGCCGGTATCACTGGGTTGTTGTAGGTTTTTCCGGGGGTTTTTTTGGTCATGTCAGGAGCGACTTCAGAAACTGCAAGTTGCATCTGGTGTGAGAGAATTGGCCGTCTGCAAGGATGTTGCCCAGGGGACGCCTGGATGATTTGATGTTTTTATCATCCTTTTGGGAGGTTTCTCTCATGTCCCCACATGAGGAGCTGGAGCTGATAGAGGGAGCTCATCCGCCTCTCCCAGATTCGAACCTGTGACCTGTCGGTCTTCAGTCCTGCCGGCACAGGGGTTTAACCCACTGCGCCACTGGGAGCACCGGGTAGTGAGCTACTTCTGAGGATGCTTGCCATAGATGCAGGCGAAACGTCAGGAGAAAATGCCCCTAGAACATTTATTTATTTATTTATTTCGCGCATTTCTACCCCGCCCTTCTCAAGCCYCAAGGGGGGGACTCAAGGCGGCTTACAAAAGGCACAATTCGATGCCARCATAAACATAACAATGGATAAAACATGTAAACAGCAATTGTAACAATTAAGACAGTCAGTCCATACATTAAAATCAATAAAAACAATCTAATTCTCAGCATTCGCCATCTCATRGTCCGTAAATTCATTCCACATTGTCAAGTACTCCTGATTCTGGTCATCATTGTCCTTATCTAACCGCCAGATTGCCCGAAAGCCTGGTCCCATAACCATGTTTTTAATTTCCTTCTGAAAGAGAGGAGGGATGTCGATGACCTAATTTCCCCRGGGAGTGAATTCCACAGGTGAGGGAAGGCCCTGCTCCTCGTCCCCACCAATCTCACTTGTGATAGAGGTGGGATCGAGAGCAGGGCCTCCTTAGAAGATCTCAAACTCCGAGGTGGAATGTAGAGGGAGATGCGTTCGGACAGGTACGCTGGGCCGGAGCCATATAGGGTTTTGTAGGTCACAACCAGCACTTTGAATTGTGCTCGGAACTGGATCGGCAGCCAGTGGAGCTGACATAGCAAGTGGTGGTATGCTCCCTGTATGACGCTCCGGTGAGTAATCTGGCTGCCGCCCGCTGGACTAATTGAAGTTTCCGAACAGTCTTCAAGGGCAACCCCACGTAGAGTGCGTTGCAGTAGTCTATTCGGGATGTAACATGGCCATATAACCTAGAAAAACCTTCAACAACCCAATAAAAATAATGTATTAATCTACACTGCCGTATAATCCAGTTCAAATCAGATAATCTGGATTTTATATGGCAGTGTACAAGGTGCCTTATTTTCCTTCAGTTTGAATCCATGGCTTCATGTCCTAGTCTCTGCCTCAGCAAAGACACTACTAAACTAGTGACCCAATACAAAAAGATAGAAGATTAGTTGAGCAGGATTAGTTTTTTTGTTGTTGTTTTAAGTGTTTTTTATTAAGTTTCAACAAAAGAAAACATACATCATCAAAAAAGACCAAGAAAAAAGAAACAATTAAACCAGACAAACATAACATAATACAATTAAATAATAACAATAAAGACACTACTTCAGTGTTTTGTTAAGATTTCTTTCTTTCTCTTTGAGGTTGAGGTTCTTTCTTAGGGCAAAATTTGTTTTTGACAAACTCATGCTAGTTCCTACTGATTAATCGATGGTCGTACTTGCAAACATTCTTCTTTGCAATCCGTTAAAACATTTTTCCTGGCACAAGCATTGAGGTCAGGTGGGCTGGACTTTTCCCTTTTTGAAGACAAGTGAAAGTTTGCTCATCTCCAGTCCCAGTTTCCTTAGACACCTATATTTTTCCTCTCATTGGATTGATTGAAACTGTGCCTCCAATAAGTTCCTTTTCAGAACTTGCATCCATCATGTATCTTCCACATCCTGTGAAGACAATCCTGTGAAATTCATGGGGTTGCAATAAGTTGACAGGTGACTTGAAGACATTTGTTATGTGCCTTAAAGTCATTTCTGACTTTCTCAAGTTGCTCCTGACACAAAATAAATAAATTTATGACTTATGACATCCCTGTCACAGGGTTTTCTATATGGAGATCTGTAATATTCCCTTGCAGATTCCCATTTGAGGATCAACCAGCTCTTATTCTGCTTGGCTTCTAGAATCAGACAAAACTAGATGTGTTAAGATTATGCTCCTTTATTTAAGGTCAGGAGAAGAGCCAAGAATAGATTGATCTACAAAGACATGTAATTAACAGTACTTTAACCACATGTGATCTGATGTGCCATGTATGCTGAACCGACCATTCTATATTCCCAAAGCATTACAAAAACCAGGAGGTTAAGTTTGGTGTTTAGCAGCCAGAAGCTACACATGGCTGATTAGAACCAGAGCCAGGCATGTAGCTGGGGGGGGGGGGGGGGGGGGGGGGGGGGGGCTTGAGGGGCTTCAGCCCCTCCCCCCCAAATTCTCATGGTGGTTTGCGAAAAGGCCTTACTGGTGCATTATTTAAACTGTTATGTTTATTCATATCTTGATCTGATCACCATACTCAATATATCTCATATGCATGGGGGTATTGGGGTAATGATATAAAAGGTTTGCTAGGGTAGACCCTCTTTCACTCAGTCAGCCCCCCGCCCCCCGAAACAAACTCAGCCCCCCCCCCCCAATCGAAATCCTGGCTACGGGCCTGACCAGAGCATATAAAGTTGTTAGTCACAAGTTACAACTAATAAGGTATCGGTGTATCTCCAGGTCCCACAAAAAGGTTGCTGTTCTTCTGTTGTTGTGATTCATTATTTTTAGTTCCCTGTTTATCAAAAGTAATTCAAATGGCTCCCTTCTGCTATTAAAACGACAGCATCTGAATGCTGTAGACCCTCATTATAAAACACAGGGCCTTCTTTGTTCCACATTTTCATTTCCTCAAAACCCACAGCAGAGCATGACTCAACTATAGAATTCACATCATAATCCAGCACCTGAACTATGTGGTATTCCTCCTCCATCATTTGACTATTACAAATAATGATAAATGTTGCAACTGTGCTTCAAAAGGTGTTGCCTTTTGAAACATTTTTTTCTTGTAATTCAGATAGAATATTGTTGTTTTACCGGAATGGGTCATTTCCATGCACTCCCTGGATCCACTGAAGTTTCTAAGTATATGTGTGTTTGTTCTTTACGATGCATTCTACCCAAAGCATTCTACCCAATGGTCAAATATTTCTCCCTTGGCTATATTGTAAAATGGAACTGTAATTTTAAAATAATTAATCTAGATGTGTGAACGTTATAGTACATTTTAAAATAGTGGCTAGTCTATGCTGATAATTTATAGGACTTCAACTGCTACCACTTGGTGAATAATTATGTTTCCTTTTTCTGGGTTGGTCATTTTGCTTTGCTAACCATTTTAAAATGAGCACTGTGATCTATGAGAAGGTTTGGCATAGCTAATTTTTGTTGCTTTCAGTTTGAAAAACGAGCTTGTGTAAATCTTTCTGTTTTTCATGTTCATGGTTGAACTCTTAGGGAGATACACGGTGACAAATGAACACAGAGCCCTTGGTTTGGCTATTAATATGAGGTCATTGGGGATAAATTAAAATAATACACACTCATGCATATAATTTAGAAAACTCACTGCATGTATTACTAGGAATGAAACTGAGCTTCCCAAAAATCTGGGATATAAAACGTGAAATCTCAGGGCCCTTCCACACAGTCAAATAACTCAGAATATTAAGGCAGATAATCCACAATATCTGCTTTGAACTGGAATATCTGAGTCCACACTGCCATATAATCCAATTCAACATGGATTTTATACAACTGTGTGCCCAGTGGAAGGTGAATGCTGTAAATCTGCACTGGAGGTCTTGCTGAGGAGCAAATTTAAGTTCTTTTTCTTAACAATGCTATTGGAAGTTTATTTTAAAGATAGGAAAAATTGCTTAGGGTAGTATGCAAAGGTGACAAAACTCTGAAGTTGATGGTTGGCATGAAGAAAATGTCCCCAAGAGTATCAATTTGCAGTGCAGATATGTAATTCACTGTACTTAACCAAGAAGGGAAAACAACTTCAGGTCATGCTTACTACCTACCAGTAAGTCTATTAATAATGCTTTTTGCAAGCTGTTGGGAATATTTTCTGCAGTGTTGACCACTTTGACAATGGTAATAATCATAGCTATATTTTTTATTTTGAGTCCAAAGGAAAGGACAAGATTCCAAAGATTGAAGACAACTAAAAGTAAGTATAGCTTCTATGTAAAACATGCTAATAGTTCATTGGCTATCTCTCCTGAACAACTTCTTATTACAGCCACAAAGGAGAGTTTCAGAATACTTTTGTAGTTCTTACACTTTGTTATTGCTGAAAGTTTAAGAATATAGTATTAAAAATAAGCAGACATTGCAAAATTGCTTAATTTGAATAATTTATACAGAGTAGGGATTTCTGTGTTTCTTAGGACAGAATTATAAGAATATACCAACCTTTAGCTTTGTGAGTTTTTTCTGCTACAGAAGCAACTGCCTTGTAGGAAAGTGTCAATTCACAATGTTTGAGTAAAACACATGTAAGACAAAGGTGGCATTAGCCCTCAGTTATAGACCTCACTG